CTCTCCCCTCCCCCACCTTACATCAAATCTGTTCACTTGCCTTAACAAGTTCAAGGAATTGTGATTGTTGTGTCTTCTTCCCCCCCCATTTGTTTGTGTTTATTTATTTATTTATTTTTAGCTCCTACGAATAAGTGAGAACATGTGGTATTCCTCTTTCTGTGCCTGACTTGTTTCACTTAATATAATTTTCTCTAAATCCATCCATGTTGTTGTGAATGGTAGTATTTCATTTTTTTTTCTTTTGAAATCTCCCAGCCTCTGATGAATCAAGAAGCACAACCAAGCAATTCCAGTTTAAGTACTAAATATGAATAAATCATATAACCATTGCCTTGTGTGTGTCCAAGGATACCCCTCTATGGCAGATGGAATTGTTGGCCCTGTCCTTTACTACTCTGGAGCTTCTGTACAGACCCACACTTGCCATAGCCTCTTGCTAGGCAGTGTTCATTAGCCACCTCTGCCTTTGGTTTTGACTGTGATTTCTTGCTTTGACCAAAGGAATGTGGAAGTGTGCCAGATCAGAAACTCAATCTTAACAGGTATTAAGTGCTTCCATTAGTCCTTCTAGACCTTCTGTGTCCTGGGTAGCTTCTACCCTTACAGCCTGGGTCCTGCAAAAGACACATGGAATAGATCTGCCCCAAACAACCCATAAACCTGCTGCCTGAAAGAGAACCAGCCCAGCAGACCCACAGGCCCATAAGTCTGAGAATAAAAAGTTCATTGTTGAATGCCACTGAGATTTTGTGGTAACTACCTATGCAGCATTTTTACAGGGAAAACCTGATTGATACAGATTTCCTCCTTTGCTGTTCAACTCTAACTTATGAAGTAGGGGGAAGACCATATTTCAATATGTTGCAAGAAATGACAATACCCACCATGTTCATCTCTTCTAAAATTGCCACACAATTTAAACAATCTTTAAATTAAATTAATCTGTGAGGGTTATGGATTTGTCACTTTTAAATTTTATTTTGTTTTATTTATGTGAAGGAGAGTGTACTGGGTACTTTAAACTAACAGAAGTTTTCTCTATCACATTTGTAGAACAAAACTCAACAAAGCACTATAAGCACTTACACACACACACAAACACAAAAATTAGTTTGATAACTCAGTTCTAGACCATTTACTTAGGGGTGTGCTTGGTCCTCTAAATTAATGGAGTGGAGATTAACAGATAATTTTGAGATGGGTTTAGGTATACAGAGAGTTATAGCTAGCAATGCTTTATTTAAGAGAAAGAACTTAAGTAGTACACACACACAGGATTTAAAATGGGTTTTCCTTTTCCATAACAAAATTATTTTTTCTGTATTAAAAAAAAGAAAAGGTTATCTCATTGTAATCTGGTGATCTAAAATCTCTTTAGTGATAAAATAGACCACATTTTATATGAGATTTAACAAAAGTAAGGGCTCTTCTGGCAAAAATTAAAACATCTACAATGAAATGTGTAAAAATTACAGACATTGTATGTTATACTTCAATAAAAAAAATTTTTAAGTGAAACCAGGACTAGTATAGAGTTAAATGGCAAGGAACTATGTATATCTATTATAAGTATCTTAATAAATAACTAAACATAACTCATAATCAGCTGCCATTGACATGGGTCTGGACTAACATTTACCTAAATATTACCTCTGTTTTAAAAGGTATAAATTTACAAATTGACAGTGAAAACAAGGTGGAAGAAAGATGAGGGAGGAAGGATACTTAATCTAATAAAGAAAAAAAGACAAACTAATGTTCAGATTTTAAAATTTCATTGGTACTTTCTCACCAGTATATAAATAATCAAGCTGCTAATTGCCAACAATTCTTATTTACTCACTAAATGAGATAACAAGGAAAATGCTGGGATCAGGTGTGTTTCAAAGCATCCTAAAATATGAACATTTTGATAATTCTTTAAAAATTCAATAATATGATAATCTATATAAGTTTAAGAAGAAACTTCTTTCCTTTAAATTGAACAAAGTAAATAAATTGATATTACATGCTAAAAGACTTTGTGTGTAGGTAAGTATATTCTTCTTTCCTACAGTAGCAATATGATCATCTTTGTTAAAACTTTGATTGTCATGCTCAATTCATTAGCACGTACACTAAAATTGAATAACATAGAGATTAGCATGAACCCAGCACGAGGATGACACGTAAATTTGTACAACATTCCCTATTTTTGGAGGCAGTAAGATGAAAGGCAAAAGTATACATGAGGACTATACTCTAGTTAATAAAGTTGTTTCCCATAGGGGTAAAGATTAACAATTCTGATACTGCTGTGTATGTATGCTGGAACTGAACAATTAAGTAAATAGATGGCAGAAGTTAGGTTTCTCACTGGTGGAGTGCGAAGTTACAGATAAGCAAGGAAAAGAGTGGGGATACTCCACCATGGGGTAATGGATTAGAGTTACAGACAACAGTATAAATTCATGTTTAGCTTAATATTGATATCGTTACATATATATATTTATAGATATGTGCACATACACAGGTTAATATACACATGTATCCTTGCTCTGTCAGCTGATAGGGCCTAGAGATGATGACACCCCAGTAGCAATGACCACACTTAGCACCAAATCTTGGTTTCTAATACTATTCTTTAATAAAAAGAATCATGTATCCTTGGAGAAATGGCTGATTCTAGGACTGAGGCAGGAAATGTACAAGATAAGCTTGGAGCATTGTACTGCCAGAAAGTTAGTGCCCAAATAAATAAATAAATAAATAAAACCTCACAATGATGGGGGTATATCAGAGGAATACAGAAAACAACTTAAAGAGCTGTTAATGACCAATTGTGGAACAATTTGAGCAACAAAATAAATAAAATAGTGCATTAATCAGGCTGGGCAGCCATAACAAAATACCATAGACTAGGTGGCTTAAACAACATGAATTTCTTTCTTACAGCTCTGGAGGCTTGCAAGTCCAAGATTAAGGTGCCAGTCAATTCAGTTCCCTGGTGAGGAATCTATTCCTGCCTTGCAGACAGCTGCCTTCTCACTGTGTCCTCACATGGCAGAAAGAGAGGAAGCAAGCTCTCTAGAGTCTCTTCTCATAAAGGCACAAATCCCATCATGAGGGCCCCACCCTCATGACCTCATTTAAATCAATTACCTCCCAAGGGCCCCACCACCAAATACCATCACACTGGGGAATAGGGCTTCAACATATGAATTTGGGGTGGTGAGGGTATTTAGTCCATGGCAAGTAGTATTATATTATAAGCCAAAGTAGAAACCAAATATCCATGAGTCCATACTCATGTAAATAAATGAATGAATAAATAAATAAATAAATACATGGGGGACATTCTTCTCGTGTAGAAGAATTCCAAATAATTTATGTGAATACTCCACACTTAAGGAGATGGATCATAAATCATAATCCTTAAGGTTGAGTATGTATAGTAACTTTCTTCCAAAGAGTATATTACGGAAGGGCATGGGTGGAGTAACTTTACAGTGGAGAAAACTGAAAACACTATTTCAAGCCAGAGAATCAAGATTAACATAAATAATAAGTTATTTTTATAATAAGTACCTTGATAGGATGTTATAAGAATGGCACTTTACATCTGTGATCTTCCTCTAAAAAACATGTTATTTCAATCTAATCATGATAAAATTATCACACAAATACCAATTGGGTAAATTCTACAAAATACCTGACCAATAATCCTCAAAACTGTCAAGGTCATTAAAAACAAGGACAATCTGAGAAACTGTCACAACCAATAGGAGTCTAAGGAGATGACTACTAAATGTGATATGGTATCCTCAATGAAATCCCAGAACAGACAAATGAAGTTTGGAGAAAACTGAGAAAATTGGAGTAAAGTATGTACCTTGGTTAATAAATGTGTATCAATACTGGTGCAGTAATTGAGACAAACGTATCAAATGTACTAATGTAATATGTTAACAATAGGGGAAACTGAGCGGGGTACACATAAGTCCCTACTATATTCATAATAAATTTGTAAATTGGAAACTGTCTACACTTAAAAGTACATTTTTAAAAAAGCTTTATCTTCTATACCAAACTATCGGAAGAGGTTCCTTCCTCCCTCTGTCTCTCTTTCCCTTCTTTCCTTCCACAAATATGTACCGAGCACATGTCTTGAGCCAGGCAATGGGGCAGGTGCAGAAGCCCTGTATTTGTGGAGTTTGCAGTCTAAAT